TCTCTCTCTCTCTCTCTCTCTCTCTTTCTGTGAGAACGAGGTCAAGTTAGGTTCAGTTCAAACGTGGAACTTCACACGAACCGAACCAAATTGAAACAACGAATAACAACGGTCTTCCTTGATGACATTAGGTTCGGCTCATGTGAAGTTCGACGTTTGAGCTGAGGCTTAGGATCCAGGTAACACGAGTGAATCGAAAACAAAGTAGCACAAAAACATTTTACACTGCATTTTTCCCCGATTTTATTTTAACCTTTGACTTTGATTTAAATTAGATTCCCTATCACTGGACGAATGGTTGGTAGTTTCCTTTGAATTAGTTACGGCAAAAATGGAGGTGGTTATCCTATTTCGATTCCGTCAATAGAGGTTTTGCACCATCACCTGCCGGCACTCATAATACAGCTTGGACTGCCTGCGGTTAGATGACAAAACAATAGAATCCCTTTTCTATCGGGAACGGAATTCTTTCTCATGTAAAACAATTGTATTGTTCCGGACCTCTAACATGGCTGCTGTCAAGTGATAGTGTAAAACCCCTCTATAAAACATACCGACCGTTTGCATGTGGCATCATGTACTACATGTTTTTTGTTGTTGTTTTGTTTTTGTTTTTGTTGTTGTTGTTGTTTTGTGTTTGTTTTTTTTGTTTTTTGTTGTTTTTTTTTTTGTATGTACGGGGTGCTCCTGTGGACCTAGAGTCCTTAGATTGTCCCGTTGAACGCTATGAATAAATCTAGTGAAGGCTAAGTGAGCTTCCGTGTGCCGCCATTCCCTCTATGTTGAATGATAAATAATGGTGAGTGTATTGACATCGGCAAGGTGAGTTGGGAAGTCTCAGAGAACTCATAGAAACCAGAACTGGTTAAACATTATTCACTCATTTAGTTGGTTCAACTTTATCTTCCACAAGCCAATCACTCTACAAACACGCTCAGAAATCACGGCCCCACCCTACAATCGCACGCAATAAGGCTACCTGCAGGCAAAATTAAGCAATCCTGTATATCCAACAGGCACATCCTTCAAGGAATAAGATCTTGTGAAATAGAAAACACTATCCTGAACCATGGAGTTGTAATATTATTTAATTATGCCTGCATCCAACAGTCACATCTTTCAAGGAATGAGATCTCGTGAAACAGTAAGCGCTATCCTGAACCAATGAAAGGCAGTGTTCCAGTAAACGAGACTCGACATACAACCCAACGAAAGCAGCCGATAGTAATCCTGCAGAAAAAGGAAACATGACGTATGGCATGACAAACTCGCGCCGTTTCCCTTCAAATGTGACGTGAAGCAATAGAAGCATATTCTCAAACAATAAGCCCAAAATGGTCCCTGAAAGAATGCAGAAAAAGATAACAACAGCAACACTAGGTAAAAAACGATACCAAGACTCGAAGATTAAGAAAACCAAAGAAAAGATCTCTATAACAGAAAACGTCCACAGCAGTTTACGAGATGGGGTATAATTCCAGCGTAAGCTGACCAGAGAAAGCAAAACGCGGTGACATCGACCAATCATCTCCCCAGACGTAAAGGCAAAAACGTAATATTGATAGTGATCACGTGGTCTAAAGGGAGCGTTCTCGTAGGCAATTGTCGTGATGACAGACTGATTTAAAAGAAAATAAGAAAAAACAGTTAAAAAAGTAGGTAGAACTGTTAGGGAAAACAACTTTGCTATGACCAGAAATTTTTCTTTTCTTGTTAGGGATTCATCATCGGGTGTCATGTTCCTTGAGTGTCTTGTTGATAGTTTCTTTTCTCTGTCTTGTTGTGGGTCCTCGTCTTTTTCTTCGTCTGTATCGTTGTCTTCTATTTTTGTGTAGGTGATGTCTTTGTGGATTGTAGAGTCAGGGTATTTATTGTTTTTGTTTCGATCGATGATATAATAGGACACAAGAAAAAGGATGGACAGAGGCGACAGAACAACTATTGTTACGTTGGGTGACACACACAACCACGTGGTTAAGGCTGCAATAGAAGAAGGTTTGATAATGATTTAGTCTATCAGATTGGTTCAAAATTTGTCTTGTATGTTTTAAATGTCTCGAGAAACACTTGCTCTGTGTAAGACAATGCGGTTTTGTGTTGTAATAATTAGAAAATAATAGTTAGGTGCAGATCTACAAACATTGTATGTTTTTATAATATAACCAGGAACCCAACTACCGATCACTAATAATAATCAATTTTATTTAGAGAGGATGACACGTTACAATCGCAACTGATGAACTTGTGGCCCAACAAGTTAGGGCGAGCCAGTCATTTGCATATTTGTTTGGACTAATCGCTGCAGTGTGTGATTTTTGGTTTTCTACTAGAACATGTTTAAAAATATAAAAATATCTACTACCGTACCTGTATAATACAGGGTCCCTGCAAATATTCCTATACCACACCCTGTTGAGAAAGCAGATGTGGCGGATGGTGTAAAGTAGGATAGGATCGAAGCCATACTTATAAGACCAGTTGCTGAACCTGAAGTTACCACTGCAACTCCAGCGATTTTCCAGTAGACTTGATTTACGTATGCTACGATGATAAAGCCAACACAGGCATTGATAAAAACTATTAACACTCGTACAACATGTGGTATTTTCTTTAAGAAGTAAGGAGCTATAGATTCCACCAAGAACTGAGGGACCATAGAAACAGATAGTAAARTTGCTGTTGGAATATGCGTTCCTGCTAGAATGTCTTGAGTACCAGATAGGATTACCGAGAATGATACATGGATAAGACACCCAAACACAGCAAAGGCCACGAGTGTGCTGTTTTGATTTTCCTTTTCAAGCTTTCCATTCTTATTGTTCAACAATGATTGAGACATTCCCTTTGCCAGGACTTAGCATAAAATGTTGGATGTYTTTACTTAAAGAACAGCCTGAAAAGCAAAGGAAAGTGGTTCATGTGTTTTTTTCCGGCTTGGCCGCGCGGAGATTAGTATTTTATCTTCGATTGTTGAGGTGATGTGTTTCGAGTGAGCGCAGCGATTTGATTTATGTTCCTTCAAGAATATTTTTCTCAACACAAGAAAATAAAATCCATATCTCCAAGCGGCCATGTAATATTCTGTTCAATATATGATTATCTATGAAATATAATTTTAGTGCATTTTTACTATTTAATGCAATTCTTACCACAGGGTGTTATTTTCACATGTTAAAGTATCATGTAATAACCTCACATGCCTCACATGTGAAGATTATCAGTTTCTAGTGATTGAGACAATTAGATATTTCATCGATGATTATATATTAAAATAATTTAGACAAAATTCGTTATGGAAACATTCAGATAAAATGATTTGAAAATTCTGCGATTAGTTATATTAGTTCATATTAAGAAATATGATGTCAGTCTTAACTATTCGGGGAGAGGGGTGGGGGGGGGGGGGCATGCACCCGAACCCCTCTCGCTCTAGTCTATTAACTATAACTATTCTCTCGTTTTCTCACCGGACTCTGAAGACTTCCGAGCAGGTTGTCGAAACGTCAGTCACTACCAAAAACAGTTTTTCTCAACAACACTAATCCGAACGATCACACTTCTCATTACCCCTTTATTAACTTTGTTCTAATTGCTCCCCCTTTGCCGCTCTTTTACCTCGGTAAAAATTTTTGTCTGGCTGATAAGTAATCTTCATTAAATTATAAATTATGGTATGGCATATTATAAACTAAATGTCTAGTCGCGAGGGAATACTTAGTTTTTTTTCCCGAGAGTCGCCGAGGGAAACATCGAGTCTCGAGGAAAAACAAAACTAACTAATTTGCCGAGAGACCAGACATTTGGATGATGGCGACATTGACCTCTATTATCAGACTCCCTTGCACACTTTCATTTGTTCAGTTAATTAGCACCAATTGTCTTACTATTCTCGTGAGGGAATACAAATTTAAATAATAAAGAAAATTCGCGAAGCATCTTGATAGTGGGAGTCAAATGACGCCATTATGCAAACTTTCTATTGAGAAATATTGAGAAGTCTGTTTACAGAATTAGAACTTTAACTAAGTCATTTAGCCACAGCGTATTTTAAGTTAAAAATGCATGAAGACTGACAAATGATACATTTTACAAATAGACTCACATATGGTGTGCAAGATGAGCAGTTGGTTTAGTTCAACGCTGTACGCTATTTATGGAAGCCTTATATTTTGTTATTCGGCGGTGAAATTGTTTAATGCTTCACAGGCGACCAGAACAATAACATGCTAATGAAAGTGTGTGTGTGGCTTTATAAGCCATGAATATGGATATTTAAACATCATAACATGCTAATGAAAGTGTGTGTGGCTTTATAAGCGCCATGAATATGGATGATGAACATCAAAGCGTAAAATGAATCTTTAAGTATTACTCTATGCAATGAATGTAGAAAATAATTACTTTACTCGTATATATCCCTCAAATATTTCATCTCGATTGTGTTAGTAGACTCGGTGGTGAAAGCGGAATCAGGAGTTATGAATCACGACTTTGAAATTTGCAGGAATCATGAATCTTCGAGTTTAAAGAGGGAATCATGAATCATGTAGATAGAATTAGGAATCATGAATCACGAAAAAAAAATTGACAAGGAATCATGAATCATCGATAGAAATCGGTAAGGGATCATGAATCTTTAAAAGTGAGTGATTCCGCTTCCACTCCCGATAGTAGACGTCCTGGCATAGTTAATGCAGCTCCATTGAACTACGGTCCTGGAGAGGTGTAAGCTCTTGTTAGTGTTTTAGCTGTAAAATTATGGAGTATTAGAGTGTTTAAGAAAGGGATGCGGAATATTGACCACTAAATTTAAAGATTATAGATTATTTGTGCTGAATTTGATCGATTATTTACTTTTTTTAGGTATATATATACTTTTTACAAAATTTGGATCATACGGATTATTTGCAAAATTTACCCAGGATTATGGCTTATTCAAGCCACTGTACTTCTCACAGGGCCTTGAGTATCTCTCGCTAAATGGAATATAGTTTAGAAAAGTTAATATCGGGAATGGCATATCTTGTCAATGTCATTAATTTACTATATTTACCACAGGATTTCATTACCTGTTTTATCGACATCTAGGTATATGTTGGCGTGTTTTAGAAAATGTGGTCTACTCCACAGTCATTAACGTACTATATTTACCTCTGGATTTCCGTACCTGTTTTATCGACATGTAGGTGTGTTAGCGTTCTTTAAAGAATGATAATCTACTCCACGGTCTTAAAGTTCCAGACTTGAGCAGATCGAGCAGAAGATCTATAGTCAGTTTTCGTCTCTCCCGGGCGTCTCTTGATCGTAAGCGACTGTGGACTTTGCTTAGTTATCAGAAATAAAATTCCACGAGGAAGGCCATCCGAATATAAATATTGGTTATGTAATGTATACAATATTTCAATTTCAATTCCGTTTAATCAAATTGYTAGAACTAACGATTTCCATCCAAATTCGAATCGTCACCTAGGAGAACAGTCCTCATTGCCATTCAATTTTAATATGGATTGTTCGAAATTAAAAGACAAGGGTAAATTAGGATTATCATAAATTAGTGAAAGATTTATCTGAGATCATCGGCCGTAAAGCGGAAACCTTCGTGAGTTTATGTGATACCATATTCCTTTCAGAAAGCCCTAGTGATAGGCAACCCGAAAAAAATATCATCGATGATAATCCATAATTTCTGATACTTTTCGGAGATTTGATTTATTTATTTATTATATAGTTAGGACAGTACGCGCGCACTAATTGGTCGTCAGCACTGTACTCYGTTCACTCATAAAGCACAGTTTTCCAACAATCAGCGCGCACACACTATCCTAACTTTATAATATATGATCAAGAAAATAAACACAAGAATTGCTGGACGTTTCGAAGACTTCCTGTCATCACTTTCAACAACATTTAATGACAGATCAAGAGTGAATTACTGAATGACAAAGTAAATATATTGTACATATTCAAACAAAAAGTTTTGCTTTAACTGAGTCTGATTGGACGTTCAGGGTTGGTTTTAATACCCTGATGAACAGCATTTCATAAATTAAACAATCAAATTTAGAACAACAACATTTTAAGATGGTTAATTGTTGTCCTAAGTCCTGCGTGTCTTTATTGTGATGGAACAATGTATGTTTGGCAATTGAAGAGGGTGGTCTTTTGTGTTCTTCTATCCTCTGATATAGGTGTCGTGTCGTGTCGTGTAACCAATATAGCACGCATCATACGTGCCACACTGAAATTTGTAGATTACATTCTGTTGGTTAACGTGACTTTCAATTGTCGTGCTTGTAAAGACAGGCTGTAGTTCTTTTTGGATCTCGTAACTCAAATCCTTTAACTGTTTACGAACCTTGTCAGCAGACTTCTGATCCTTGAATGATAACACAATCCGCACTGGACTATYCGTTTCTTTATTCTTACGGTTGGAAGATTGTTCAGTTGTCTTTGAAGTGACAAAGGATGCAATTGTAGAATCGACCAAATGTTGAGGGTACTTTAATTTCAAAAAGACTCTTTGAGACGATCACACTCATCAGAAAACTAATCCTACCATGATGATGACAGCCGGTACGCACGGTATAGCATGGTTCAGGAGGGACTGCTTATACTTCRTATCTACGTGGCTATGATAATGTAGTAGTACACCAGTGTCTGTTGGTTTTACGTAGACCTTGGTTTCCAGTTCGTTTCCGCATTTGTGTATTTCCATACTCAGGTAGGGCAGGACGTTGTTCTTAGGCAGTTCCATTGTAAATTGGATAGCAGGATGAACTTGATTAAGGCTTTCATGGAAAGACTCAGCAGCTTCGAGGCTTTATACAGCGGCAAAACATATCGCCGATACAGGCATGGTACTTTATGCTGTGCTTGTAAGATTTCTTCGATGAAGCACATAAAGGTGTTTGCCATGAGCGGGCCAAGATGCGACCCCATCGCAACGTCGTCTAACTGTTCATAGAGGACTCCATTAGACTGAAACAGCTGGTCTTTGGTTGCTGCACGTAAGAGATCAACTAGGTCAAATCTTGAAATGTTGAGATTGTGAGTGAAGTTGAACCAATTATATTGGCAAATGCTTTATCAGCCAAATGTGAATGATATCTTCCAGAGGAACATTGGTCACTAAACAGGGAGGAAACATCATACGAAACTAGGATATCATTGGCATTAATATCAATTTCTYGTAATTCATCAGTAAACCTGTTGATGTCATTGATAGTATACTGGTTCGTTGAAAGAGGTTTCAACTTGTCCTCCAGCCATTTTTTCTTGTGTAATTTTGGCAGGTCATACAGATGGGAAACATGGCCTGGATCCTTTATGGCAGATATTATCAGCGATAAATAATACATCAATTTGATATATGTATATATTTGTTATATAGCTACGAAATTTTCTGATATACCGAACACTCTCATTGGTTGAAAGATGACCACGTGACACTAGTTAAATCTAAATGTTTACCGACCGGGAAATAAGTTACATATTTAACGGTCGGGAAATAAGTTGCAAGTGACAATAATCGTGAAAATAAATAAGTGCACGTAATCAAAACATGAAAATCGCTGATGGCGTAATTCTTGCACCAATCAAAAACAACAGAGCGGGAGCAGATATTTTGCTTGAATTTTCAGTGCAAATGGAGCTCGAAGCGAAACAATAGAAGTTTTCCAGTGTTTCTACAGAGAAATTACAAACTGTTATTGAGAAAAAGGATTTGGAAAATACGRAAAAAGCGACTAAAAATTCTGTTGCTACTATTTTTGCTTTTTGGTAGATAAATACAAGACCGTATATGAGTTGTATTTGTAAAATCGTGGTCAGTTTTCATGCCTTTAGCTTGCTAAATAAAGTTTTTATTTCGTATACTGACTTCTCAATATTTCTCAATTGCTATATAACAAAACTCTTAATGTCTGGTCCCTCGGGAAATTAGTTAGTTTTGTTTTCACTCGAGTCTCGATGTTTCCCTCGGCTTCGCCTCGTGAACATCGAGACGAGGCTTTCGGGGGAAAAAAAACAATAACTATTTCCCTCGCGACCAGACATTACCGCCGTTTGCATTACTACGCGGCCACCCCAGACACAAATCGAGTCTTGTAGTTTGCAAAAGACTGCCGTCAATCATTCATGTTGACGCCATTTATACACRTTTGGATCAGTGAGTTGGCTTTTCTATCAAACTTTCTCAGTCAGATATCACGAAGGAAAGTTCCGAAAGCGATTGCAAAGAGTTTGAGTACATCCAAGCAGTTTGGATAGGAGTTTGCAATACACTGCCGTCAATCAATATTTATTAAGTATAATTTTAGTCTTGAATATAGAGTTTCGCGCGCTGTGATTGGTTAAGCGACCATTGATTATATAGAGGTTATTATTACATTGCTAATYGTGTATTACTGCCGGAACTATCCGGATAATTTCACGAGTGAAAGCGTATTTTTTCGAGCCCCGTAGGTAATCAAGTAAAATTAACCAGGAATTCGAAGCGTAAAAATCGGCCATGAAAATTTGTGATTTAATTGTACTTCTCTTGTCCAATCAGAACGAGTAATTTTGTCGAGTGTATCATAAATGAGGCAATACCATGTCACGCCCTCGGGACTTTTACAATATTCCCGAGGTATTAGGGGAAATTTAATCACTAATTTCCCTCGTGCCATGGTATTATTTATAATAATTGCCCGAAGTGCTAYCACCTTATTTCGTTTTTAAGATTTCACAATATCATGTCAAGCATTTAGACGTTATGGAGACCAAAGATTCAGAACGAGTTAAACAAGAAGTACTTTCTTTAAACAGTGAAATGCAGTGCTTCAGTAAAAGTGGTTCAACGAAAAACCCAACCAGGCCGGCAGTAAACATGCCTAATCCACGGGGAACCACTGCATATCCCATAACAAACTCTCGTTCTTCTCCTTCAAACTTTAGATGTAGTAATCCAAGCATATTTACGTAAACCATGCCTTGTGTAAATCCAGCAAAAAAAACAAAAAAAAGAAGAATGCCTACGTTGGGAAGAAATCGATACCAAGACTCCAAAATCGCAAAACATAATATTAGCATTTCTGTGCTCGAAAAAAGCCACAGCAACAATCTAGTTGGAGTATAAAGCAAGCGAGTTTTGGAAAGTATCAAGTGATGGGATCTTCCTATCATCTCACCCAACGCAAAAATAAAAAAGTAATACTGATAGTGGTCACGTGGTGTGAAGGGAGCGTTCTTGTAGGCGATGGTTGTGATTACAGTCTGAGTCAAAAGGTATTGAGAACAAAATCCTATGAATCCGGGCACAAGTGTGAGAGAAAACAGCTTTGCTAAGATCAACATCTTCTCTTTTCTGCTCAAGAACACATCGTCTGTTTTTCTAGTACATTTATCTTTTGTTTCTTGTTTTCTTTCTTTCTTTATTTCACTGTCCTCAACATCTTCCGTATCTGTATCGTCTATTTTTGTATAGACTACTTCTTCATCTGAATCAGAAGCTTTTTTCCTTATGTTTTTGATGATGAAGTAATATAATACAAAATAACTGAGAGGCAATGGTGATACGATGGTAAGTGTTGTGTTTGGAGATACACAAAACCAAGTGGTCAAAGCTGTTAAGAGAAAAAAAGAATCATGATATCCTTTGTCTCAAAAGCAGAGATATAGATTCTATATACCATGTAAACAGAGATCTACACAATCTACAACTTCCATTAAGATACTTCCAAGAATCATATTGTTACACAATTACTAAAGGCTCAAACTTCATAAAAGTGCATGTTTTTAAATATGGGCTTTCTATCGTACTTTTCTTACCAGTGTAATAAAGAGGTCCTAAAAGGAATCCTACCCCAGTGCCGGACGAGTACGCAGACACAGCTGAAGGTTCAAAGTACGAAGTCAGTGAAACGATGGTTATTGTGCCGACTGCTACACCAAATGCTAATAATGCAACAGCAGCAATCTTCCACTCGACATCAGCATATGCCAGGATGATCAAGCCAACAGAGACACTAATACTGGCAGTAAATACAAGAACGAGGTTGGGTATCCTGTTGACGAAGTAAGGCGCTATGACATCTACGATAAGAAGCGGAACAACCCCTGCCAACAACACAGTGGTAGAAGGTTTGTAGGTTCCAGCCAAAGTATCTTGCGTTCCTGCCAGAATCACGGAAGTTAATGAAGTAAAAAAGCAACCAAAGAGTGCAAAAGCTGGGAAGACGTTTCCTTGTTGCGTTCGCTCAGAATCGCTTTTAGTGGTCAGTTTTTTTGTATTCATTTCTTTCATGGTCAATGTTGCAAGCATCTAGTATATCAAAGAGTGTAGACTCGAATCTGAAAGGAAAGTAATAAAATTCTGACAAGATGCATTTTTAAAACTAATGTTGTTCATTGAAATGGCAACATTTATGTAACCTGTTTTTCGAAATTGCAACATTTGTGACAGAAGCTGTTTGATTATTTATTTATTGTATTTGATTAAAAATGTGTTTGTAATGTATTCATTGATTGACACCTCATGTAATAGCATTAATTAGCATAACTTCGTGTGCTCGTACACAAGACACATGTAAGAACAGTGCATATTAAGGAGGCTCTGGGTAGTTTTGGTCTGGCACACCTGCCGCATTGAAACGACTACAACTTCGTCTTGAATAACTCGATCTGCAAACACTTTTCACACAACGTCAGGAAAGGATTAAAGGTTTCAAAAATGATAAATTAGTTTAAAGCGGCCTTTTCATTATGACGTAATGATGATATCGTAGAAATTGTTTACCGCTTATTTTCTCGAAAACTAGACCTAAACTTTCAAAGTGACTTGCACCAGTCGATAGTATTCATCAAGGCACCCAACATATTGCAGTGTGACAAAACTATAYGAGAGCGTTTTCCAAATATTACGCGATGAATATTTTCATGGACTTTTACCATTATTTCCAGCGTGTCAACTTTATAYCCTCAAAATCGGGACTTAAATTTAGTGGATTCAATATTTTTTGTAGCTAGAATATAAGTACGGATATAGACACTGTCCTTATTGAGCATGAATCAAATTGTGAGGCTCATTCTAACGTTAATTTCATATGCATTGAAGGGTTTTAATGCAGTCAAATAAAAATAAGTACACGCTCACAACTATTTTCGCTCAAGGCTGCTTGTTGATTATTCATGCTTGACTTGGTGTTATTCCTTGTCGTGTCCTGTTAGTTGTGGGCGTACTTACTTTTATTTGATTGCCTTAAAACCCTTCAATACATATGAAATTAATGGAAAATATTYGTAAAAGACACATCTTTTAGTGACTTCATTTAGGAAAAAATCGTTCGACGATTTTTTGAATGCCTCTTTCATCGATATTTTCTATCGCTTTTGACAACAAATGGGGTCATTTAATTAGCTTCATATCAAAAAATCCATAACGTTAGAAAGAAAGTCACAATTTGATTCATRCTYAATAAGRACAGTGTCTATATCCGTACCTATATTCTAGCTACTAAAAATATTGAATCCACTAAATTAAGGTCCCGATTTTAAGGGTATAAAGCTGACACGCTGGAAATAGTAGTAAAAGTCCATGAAAATATTCATAGCGTAATATTTGGAAAACGCTCTCACACATTTTTTTCATATTGCAATATGTTGGGTGCCTTGATGAATACTATCGACTGGTGCAAGTCGCTTTGAAAGTCTAGGTCTAGTTTTCGAGAAAATAAGCGGTAAACAATTTCTACGATATCATCATTACGTCATAATGAAAAGGCCGCTTTAAAYTAATTTATCATTTTTGAAACCTTTAATCCTTTCCTGACGTTGTGTGAAAAATGCTTGCATATCGAGTTATTCAAGACGAAGTTGTAGTCGTTTCAATGCGRCTAGGTGTGCCAGACCAAAACTAGAGTGCAAACAATTAATCCGTGAAACACTAATTACTAAATAGTACAAAATAGTGCTAATTAAACAATAGAAAACAATGGAATTTGCATGAAATTGTGCTATTCAGTATTACTAAAGTTTCACGGATTTACTGTGGTCACTCTACCCAAAGCCTCCTTAAACAGTATTGTTATGTGAGAATTACTACATTATTTGGCATAATGTTAACATCCATTTTCATGATATTTTCATAATCCCCGTCTCTGCGATTATATAGTAAAAGTTAAATATTTAAATAATAGAAAAACTATATATCGAAGAATCTTCAAACCATCGAATAATATCAACATTATTTAGTTTGCAAGAAGGGAAATATTCTTAACCGACCCTGAAAATTATATACTTTAATTTGGCATTTTTTAAGCTACATTTCGCCGCTTAGAAACGTACCATCAACTTTAATTTTCATTTTAGTAGTTAGGACAGTAAGCGCACTTCGAGTGCACCGTTACTACATCTTATAGAAAAAGCCTCTAACGCTCTAGATATCGTTTGTCCATTCCACTTCCATTTTATTTGGTAATTGATACCCTGGCGAATAATGAATAATATACGAAGGAATACGTGTCCTTTCCCAATGCACTTGGCCATAGTCGCCGTCGGGTGAAGCGACCCACCCACCCACCCTCGATGAAGACGGGTTTGATTTCGGAATAATATCACATCGCTCCCTCGTGTTTGGGCTTACCCCAGGCCAGAGCCATACCTTAATTTTATTATACAGATATCGATGAAATACCAGGTTTTCTCTAGTGTCGAAAACKTGATRTCTTTCACCTGTGGAAGATACCATATCTTTCACACGTGAAGATATCGCTGTTGAATCGGCTTGCTATTTTAATAAAGAATTTTTGAGCTTTTGTTTTATTTAAGTTTCATCGATATCTATATAATAAACAGAACATTACATGGCCGCTTGGAGATACGAATGTTGTCTTCTCATGTTCAATTTAGATATCTCACTCGTTCGCTGCGCTCTCTCGTGAGATAAAATTCGTATCTCCGCGAGCCCATGTAATATCCTCTATGTATGTTACAAATAACAATACTGAGGGGTGAAAWATGCGCTGTGCCAAATGTATTACAGGATGGGGTATTCAGTAGTTATATAATTAAACGAAAATTTGCAAACGTCGTCTAAAGAAAGTCATAGATYAGTAGACGATCTGGTGGAAATGGAAATGATTACATTGAGGATCAGTCAAATGACTCTAATATAAAGTAATGTATTTTTTAAAAGTAATATGCTATTCGGATCCTTTGGGAAATAATTATAATATATTCAAATATACTAAAAAAGAGTACGAGTGTTTCATTAGTTTTCATTCATGAAAATACGAAGACGCACACTGACTTACCGTTTGGACCAGTATAATCTTGACATACAATGAAACACCAGATCAAATTCTTATAGAGAATCAAGACACTCAAATATTGTAACAATATTTCATGTGAAATACTGGCTTGTTTTATTACATTGAGGTGACACGAAGCAGCTTGTGACGAGTTTTGTGGCAATTTGTTTTCATTGATGAGTTCTAGAAGCCACGGCCTCGTTGATTCATCATCTTCTTGGTGTTTGGAAACCCCAAACACTCGCAGTCATTCGATATAAACAAGCACAAGCAGGTTTAAAAATACGAAATACGAAACGTAGMCGAGTTTATTGAACGGCTTAAAGTTTATGCAAATGAAGACGAATCTATATCAGATATAAAATCACCCTCATGGTCATGATTTCTATTGTGTGTCCTTCATGAATTATTAATGCGTTTTTGAAATATATATAACAAAATACATTATATTTACAATACAGTTCAGCGAGATTGTTTAAAACTATCATTGTTGTCACTTTTGCTATTATTGTATTTACAAAGATTCTGCTATAGTAATAAATTGAATAGTAAACTCAGGGTGGCAGACACCTCAAGAAGAAACCACAGGCTTATACTCTTTGGGTGTCTTTTAGCTTGGTTATATATAGTATCAACTTAGAGAAAAGAAGGGAGGGTGAAGGCATGCACTTTAAGCAAATTCAATTAAAGCAAGGAGGAATAAGGAGCTACATGTTCTGTTTTGAGGTGTTATAGTTGCACAKAAGACATTTGATAATATTCAAATTATTTACTAATGAGACAATAAGGTACATTTTATATTCATATTTAAAGCTAGATATGGATGGTGCTGTCCTCTGCTGTCTTCATATTGTCACGCAGCAAATTCCATAGCTTGAGGCCTTGATTAAATTCATAAAATAAAGGGGCAGTGTGTGCATCATACTTCGAACTCCAATGGGTCTTAGGTGATGTTACACGCGACGATTTTTCGCGTCGATCTTTCGCGATACCGGGCCGTTGCGCAAAAAATTGATGCGTTTAACACACCGGACACGTAGATTTTCGTATATGGCAACACGTTGCCAGTTTTTGGTTCTCCTTCAAAAACTCGCAATACGAAATGACGAATTTTCATCAAGTTCATTCGTGTAACAGCTTCTTCGACAATTATTTGCACAACACCTACCCAGAATGCAGTTCAAGGACAGGGCTGATGTCAATAAACAAGATGGCGGAGGTAATTGAAGAAGAAGAAAATTTGTGAGATGTTGATGAATTGTTAGTTGACCAGAGCCGCTTAGATGATGTAGCACGTCTGAAGTATATAACGTTCATCAAAGCGAAGCCTTGTCTGTGGTCTCCCCATGACAAGCAAACAAAAGATGTAAAAAAAGTGTTTCAATATGAACACACTGTTTGTTTTGATTCGTCACACTGCGCGSCTTGGGAGCTGGGATCGAAATTGCCATTTAAAAATGGAGGCTGAAAATCGTCGCGAGTAACATCACCTTTAGATGCTTATGAATTATTTACGAGTTTTTGAAATATATGTATATAATGTTGTTATATAGCTACGAAATTTTYCGAATAAATTAACACTCTCTTTGGTTGAAAGATGACCACGTGACACTAGCTAAATCTAAGGCCCCGTCCACACATATCCGGAAATTTTTGTATCCGCAAATTTGCGGATACGGGTTGCGTCCACAAGTGTCCGCAAATTTTTGTGTCCGTATCCGCAAATTTTACGAAAACGGACACGTGTGGACGGTAAATATATCCTTTGGGAAAGTTGTTTTTACAGAACGTGTAAAACATTCTCAWGTTCGGTTTCAAAATGTTGTTTTAGTGACAATATTTTTCGAAAACACAGAAAGCGCCATTGATTGACTTTTTTCTCTTATCATTTAATTAAAACATCCAATTCATGTCAAACCACACAAGAGAATGGTACATTCATGCTAATGGTTTAGTATTCGCTCAGTAGATTGTCAATGTTTATGATAATTGCGCTAATGAATTTTCTGTTCTTTATGAATACTTGCAATAAATGCAATARCTTGTTGATTGGTGTTATTGAATKTTAGTTTGATGTAAATGACGTCTAAACAGTTCMCGCCCACARTGTCTGAACGAACTTTTGTTTGTCAATTAATGCTATTGAATATCCATGCATATTCAAATATCGGTTCGACTAAATTAAGCTCATGGTTAGTTCGACGTTTGCCCTGGGCCTTAGTCCACGCTTTGTTCATTCTTTTCACGTCGGCTCTGGTGCTCTGTTTTTCACACTCTACTATGAAAGGTTATTATTCAAAGYCAAGATTTGTATTAGGTACGGCTGGTGGTGCCTACTGCGAGGCGACGGCTTGCAGGTTGTGTCTAAGTGAGACCCCGGATGATCGAGACATCTCTCAAATAATTTTTTTTGCATTTGTTCAAGTTTATTATTCACGCCTAGATTTTATTAGGTGCGGTTGGTGGTGCCTATACTGCGAGGCCCCGGCTTGCCGGTTGTGTCTAAGTGAGACCCCGGATTATCGAGAATTTATTTAAATTCCAAAGATGTAATTGTGATATTTGCTTGTTAGCTTTCTATTTATAGCCTAGATTTGATATTCATATTGCGGTTGGTCGCGTCTAAGTGTGTCCCCAGCCTGCCGATCGTGTCTGTGTGACCCAGAGCACTTCTTTATTAGTCGACATTCGCTTGTATGATTATGGCTAGTATGCCTTTGCTTTGTTATGGCATTATCTACATTAATCTTGTATTTCTACGGGTTTACCCTCCCAATGGTAGTCTGAAAGTGATTACTGATGCTCAGGCTGCCATCCCCTTGGTCCTTGTTTTGCCGCCCTGTTTTATGTTCATTAGCATGCCCCACCACCCCTTCCCAGGGGATGGCAGTCTGACCCTTCGTCATCCTGGTTTATGCCATTGCCGATATACCCTCCTATTTGCACCAGTCCCTTACAGAGCAAGTATAAATAWGATCGCTCCCAGATCCACCGCGCGCAGTTTCGTATGAACTCGTTGTGGCAATTGCAGTATTGACGGCTGTCCATTCCTTTAGCCAGCTTACCCTTTCGCGCTCGCCTTCTCCGACTAGCAGCTGTGTCAAGTCTTTTTCTCCCTCCCTGCTCACTCCCATCACCATCATAGATTTATTTTCTGCCCCCTTGACTGATCACGGTTGCATTTATCCCATTCTTATTTGACGAGCGTGAAAGGGAATGATGCGAACAGGATACTGTTTGCACTCTGTTACATGTATATAAATAGGGAATTAAAAAAGAAAGTGAAAATTATTATAATTTATCTGTATCTGCAGGACTTTGGAGAACTGTAATTTAATTCTATTTCTTTATGGACAGCAAACAGAATGGAGACTGTGGGTCAAAGGTRGGCAATGAGAATCGCACAGGCACTCTAAAGCCAGACTTTCAAATATCAAACTCAGATTCATAACAAAAATCAGTTAATCACCATAAACTTAATGCGCGCTAATGAATCTTTTATAGATGTGCGAGTGGCTAAAATTCGGTTTCTTACTCTTTGTAAAACATGTGAAGAGTATGCAAACAAAAACATATCCGCCCCTTATGTGCATGCTGCTGCATTTCATTTGCAAAACAGAATACCAAATTTAAGAATGTCAAACAGTTCAGTGGCCAAGGTGAGTATAAATATTTCAAATACCCCAAGGAAGGCATAGCTACATGTATGTTACCAAAACAGAGGGAAGGGAAGTCAGTTTTCTTCAGAACTTGCCACATTGCAATRTTTACCTTTTCCTTTGAAAAGATAGGCAAATACATCCTGCCTAAATTTTATGATGAGCCTTTGCCTTTGCAAGTTATAGTTTGAAGATTTTGCCACTAYGATATGGAGTCTGCTGACCTCAAGAAGGACAGTATTTTTTTCAGGATGTGGCTTCTGAAATTACCTTTAAGTAAATCGGTGGATTGATATTAATGCCTTTCAATGATAAATTTTTATCATTGCTTTATAAATCTATTTTAACGAATGCGAAAATAAAAACTTTATATGACAGTTATATGAAGCATGTGCAATAAAATTTATACCCCATTCACACCAAGGCTTAAA